TATGAAGAACAATCATTTCAATTCCACCATACTACTATTAATTCAACATAACAGAGCAGAGTAATTCTTCTATTTAATTGATAAAACACTCATACAGAAAATAGACAAGTAAATAAATCATGTTGATGGATGTAAAGTTTTCTTATTAGCTAATCAATACTCAAACTATTCATTGCAAATCTTAAATTTTAAAGTGTCTTAATATGGTATTATTTATTTAATTAAGATTATCTCGTTTTTAAAACACTTTAAAGTGCATTAAAAATACTAATCAGATAGATGACCTCATATGAAAACGCTTTTAGTGTATTAGAATAAAACACTAAGATGTACAGAGTTTAAATCAATCATTTTTTAAGATCCAACTTTGTCAGATTTTAGAATTAAATTGAATTTTTATTAACTATGTGATGTTACGGGAACAATTCGTATTGTATTAACTAGAATTGTAGACGTAAATTGAATGCCTGTATGCAGATGGAATCTTCACACGTCCAAATAATTGTGGGTGCGAGGAAAATTGTGTAAAATATATACAGAGAAATTTATTTTTATTTACAATACACATACATATAAAACTAAAATTTTAATTTTTTTTTAAATTGTCGTGTTTTTCGTTATTTATTTTTTATTCATCAAAAAGGCTTTTGTCTTTTCATGATAATTTTAACGAAACATTATATTTTTTGGTCTAAACGAATATTTTATGACAATCGGATTTTAATAAATTATTTTTATAAAACATTAATGAATAATATTTTGTTATGTATTTAGTTATAATTACATCCATAAATTATTAAGTATAACAATTGTGTTGGTTATCATTTTCATCTTTCCGCTATACAACGCCTTGTTATAGATTTAACTAGAACGTGATCACGATTATTGGATGTCATTAACAATATGTAGCATCTTTTATTAGTCATTAAATAAACTACTTTCGTATTAGCTTAAATGTTGCTTTAATACCTTGAAGATATTACAAATTCATTCAGAAAAGTAATGAATATTTAATCATTTTTAATTATCAAAATTGGAGATATTAAATAATTAAAATATTTTGCAAAAGGAAAAGGGGAGGGTAAAGGAAAATACTCCTCTTCATAAATAAATTAATAAATATCACTGTTCAATAGTTTATAATCACTATTTTTTAGTTATAAAACCATTACTGTTTAAATTAGTGTTATTATTATCACTGCAAATAGTGCATATTCACTGATTCACTTTTAGAAAGTAGGACAAAGGGAAATATTAATAAATTAATTAATAAATTAACCAATATCTATGAAGTTCGATGAAGTCATACATGAATAAATTAATATACACGAAAATTTTAGGAAAAATTCCCACGCTTTTTGGTAAGCTGCATGCAAATTTATTGGCTAAGTAAAAAATATCAAATGCAATAGAAAAAATCCTTTTCTATCAAAAATTGCTGTGCATCAATAAAATTTTTCCCAATTTGTTTTAGAATAATTCCATTACTTACTCATCACTTGCACTCACTTTATAGCAACGAGAATGAAAAATTTTCTAATAAATGTTTCTCTGTGTACAAAAAAAAAATGCTCTAAACTTATTTTAATCAATTAATGAATCACTCTAAGTGTTTCTTTTCATCCTCACTTTCCTCTTATAAATACTTTTTCATATCATACATAGTTTTTAAAATATTCGATTCACAATCACTGTAAATTCTAGTGTTTTATTTTAAAACATTAAAAGTGTTTTAATATGACATCACCCATTTGATTAACATTGTCTTGATTTTGAAACGTTCTTAAGTGTTTTATTAATCGTCATATTGAAACACTTTTGATGTTTTAAAATAAAACACTATAATTTACGTGTGAATTTTAAGTCATACACTGAGTATGAAAGCAGTGAGATTGTGATGAAGAATAAAATTATTTATGATTTAAAAATATTGATTTTTCAGAGTATTTTCTGTACTTACTAAACCTCACTATCTCTTTGATGGTTTTTTCTGTCACTTAAATTGACATGATACACAAAATTAGTTCCAGGCTCTTTCAAGTAGCATGAATATATATTTTTGAGACGAATCTCATAGCAAGATTGAAATAAAAGTCATAAATGTTTCAAGATTTTAATTAGTTTAGTGATGTATTTATAAATTAGCATCAACTGGTGTTTGATCACAGAGGATTGGATTTACTTGATTTTTACCAGAGAACGGGGAAAAAAAAAATTTGTTTGTAGAGCATCAGAATATGTAGTTTACGGTTATGTACGACATGATTTGAATACGATGTAACATCCGTGTTTGCAAAGTATGTTACTAGTAGATACTCGATTGATCGAATACCCGAGCAACTGGCGTTGATGTTTAGTTCACTCTTTTATTTTCTCTCATCTGCAAACAAATTGAGGGAAGTAAAGTGACAATAGATTAAAGAGAAAATTGTTAGTGAAGAAAAAACTAGTTTGAAATCAGTGTGTTCATTTATTTTTACTCGTTTTTTTTTGTTTTTATTTCTATAGGTCAAACAAGCCCATCGTAATTATAGTCTATTGATGAATATACAACACCACTACTAATTCCTTATGGATTTTTCCCTTTTTTTTTCAAATTAGAATCTTAAATCTATATTTTCACAATTTATTTTTATTGTTTATAATTTTGAAAAATGTTCAACTCACGAAAAAAAAATAAATAATAGATAAGATAAAAGTTTTCACTTATAATGAATGTGATGTAAGCTTGTTAGTTGCTGGAGGATAGAACAAACTTGAACTTTGGTACATAAATTCTTGCAATATGACCGTCTGTTTTTAAGAATAAAACACTAAGGACTTTAACGCTTTTTACTTCCACTTTCAACATCCATATTGCAAAACTGATAATTTATCAGCCAATGTTGTTGAGAGTTACATATAAAAGATGACTTTATCGAGCATTTGATTTATACTATTATTTTTTTGTCTTTTACATTTTTTCCTTTTTTTTTTTTTGAAAATACTTCAAAGTGAGAAGTTTCCAACGCGTGATATAGTCGTTAGCACGTACATTACAGAGCTTTAAAGTTTGCAATCGGATCATAAATTCTAAAGATACGAAAGAGTGTCTGATGGTTTCTATCTAAAAAAAATTCTGAATTCTGAGGTAAACTCCAACTAGTCAACTTACCTATGGTCTGAATTACGTCAAAATATATGTACGAAAAAGAGGGGTAAAATGAAACACGAAGAAAATGTTAATTAACGTATTAACAAATGTTTAATAAATTAATCAATTAAGGTAGTTCGATCAAGATTAATGTTTTCTTAGGATTTTTTTTTATTACATTAGAATTAAAGATTATTAGAAAATAAAACGTTTATTTTAATAAAAAAAATCGATTCACTGTTTAAAACTTGAGTTATTTGAAATCCAAGTTCACTCTTCTTTCCATTTAAACCAATGATAATTGACTACAAGATTAGGTTTTTTAACTTTCATTCAAAAACGGTTCTTTCAATTTTCGTAAAAAAATTATATAATGTAAATGCATTTATAACAAATATTCTGTCAAAAAAAAATTAAGTTTTATCGTACTGTTCTTAAAAGAATAAGTTATTATTAATAATTTTAGTCTAAATACTCATATAAAATAAGCATTAACCTTCCTTTTTAAATCTTTTTTTTGTTTTTCGGAATAATAGAAGACAAATTAATGAAGATGCAGAAAGCTAGTGTGTATACTTCATAAAAAAAATTAATTTTATTTCAAAGGGCCCTGGGGTGATACGGCCCGGAGCAAATGAACTACCTTAAAAAATTGATAAATAAAACTGCAATATTTTTTTTAAACTCATTTTTATACCTATAGTAGTATTTATTCCTAAGAGTTTCACATTGCCCTTCCTTTTTCTATGTTATCAAATTTCTTTTTACGATTAGAAGATTCAAATATCAGAGAAAAATTATTTAATTCAATTATTGGATTGTAATAATAATAAATGCAAATTTTTGATTGATATTTATTAAGCAGAATTATCAAAGCTAACTGAAAATTTATTGGAAGATGAGAAAGACAAAATTATGACAGATTAACACATCTGGTTATCTCTAGTTTCAGTCATAAATAAACATAAACAAATTAGTCGATCATTATCAACAACAAATTCGTCGTTTACTCAACATATACATTTCATTAACTCAAATGTTTTACAATATTTATTTAATTGAAGTAGATTGACCCTGTTAAGCATTGATGTGTCAAGTATCGAAGAGAGTAAACTTTAAAAAAATAGCTAATAAATTTTCTTCAGTGATGTTAGAATTAATTATGTTTTTTTTAAGTAATATACAGTAATCAATTACAATATTTGCAATGCTATCAAATTTTTAATTTCATTTATAATCATTGGAGTTCAACACAGGAATGCTCAACAGGGTTTAGATAATTATTATGTCTACACTGATAGAAGAATATATTTGGTGGGACTAAATGAATTCATTAAAATTATTTTACAGTATTTATTTGATACAAATAAATATTTATTTGTAGGTAATAAATCTTCTTTGCTTAGCTGTCTGATATTATTATATTTATAAAACCATTAAATATTCACACGAAATTAAATGGTTATAATGTAATTGCTCGTCGAGCTATTGTTTAAAAGAAAATATTAATTTTAATCATTACGAAACCGTTATTTTTTATTTAACAATTTTCAATAAATAAAAGTTATTTCATCATATAACCTAACATTTGATTATGCTTTACCGTCATTCTACCTTACTATCGAGCCCAATCATAGTATTTAGATGAGAAATAAATATTTGTTAGCAGCTAAGAAATCATTCATTGAGCCAAATAAATCTACTCTAATAAATAATTTTTTAACTGTTAACAAATGTTCATTCGATTTCTTTTTCAAATAACATATTTATTAGCTGCTAATAAATTATGTTAGATAGAAAGAAATACTTCTATCAGTGTAGGTTGACGAATTAATCAATCAATAATGAATTTCTCTTTATTTTTCAGGTTAATAAGATTCTGCAGCAGCAAATGATTAAGAAAGAACAATCGGAGATGAGTTGAAGAGTGGATATGAAGTTACGAATTATATTGGCCATATTGGCCAAATTTTATCTCGATTTAATAACGTCTTCATATGCTGCCATACCAACAGGTAAAAGGAATAAATAATATTAACAAATAACCAACAGTTAATGGGTGATTAATAGTAGCTTTGATATGAATGGCTTCACAATATAAAACCCAATAAAAATGATTCAGGCAATTGTTCGTAATAATTGATGGGGTGTATATATTCGAGATGAGAATTTGCTCATGATTGGGATGTAATAGATGCTTTAAACGTATAGGCATAATAGTAGATACCCTTTATATACGCATTGGTCGATTAAACTGGAACTTGGATAGGTGGAAATTGACTGCCGACCCGCGGAACTATTCGTCCCAAATAACGAGCATCAGAACACTGGGTTCGATGTGCTTCTATAGCTTTCAGACATTGCCATATAATTTTCCAATTAAGTCATCGGATTTCCATAAATATCCAGCGTGCTTTCCCGGGAACATCATGGGAAAACCAGATCTCGTAAATTCGAACCACACATCACGCCAATGCCATTAACTATGAGATCCAAGGGGAAATGTTGGATAATAGTCAGGCACTGATAATAAACAAAAAAAAATATATAATAAAGAAGGATAAAATGATGAGTCTTGATAAAATTAATCAATCATATATTCTAGGCTAATATAATTCTATTATTCGCACTTATAAATAATAGACTTGTATTTAATTTACATTTTTATTTAAATATTCTTATTATTTGACTGACATTCTCAAAAAGATAGCACACATATGTGAAGTTATCCTATCGTGATATTGTAGCATCTGGGAAATAAACGTTCTAGAAAATGATTTTGAAAATAAAAGCATATAACAAGAAGTCATTCAGACTACGTATTGTGTTTTGTGCTCATAGAATGATAAATGATTGCATGTCGACATTGCCGGAAGTGATCAAGAAAAATTACTTAAACTCTTATGCTTTTATTCTTCCGGGAAATTATATAAAATTGCTTCCACTTCAGAGTGTCACTTCATTTTCAACTCGACAGTACGACAGTTGTATTTTACTTTAAGTTTTTTTTTTTATTATTTATCTTTCATAAATATATTGCACGGATGAAAGTATTTTTAAACGTAAATGCATGGAAATAATTTTGTTATGAGATAAATGAATTTTCGGAGAGGGGATTTTGATATCAGGATGAGGTGATGACATTTATCATAGCGTCTGTAATTTTTGATTCTCACTCATTAGTCATTTCAAAAGCTTTACATGTCAGACAGATTGTAATAAAAAATTTAACATCCTGTACAATTTCTTAATAAATTAAATTAAATAAGCTGGAGATGAAGAAGGATAAAGTAAATAATAAATATCCTTAAAAATTTTAACAATTTTATATCTCAGTAAAAAATGATTGATTATTAATTAACTAGTGCTTATTTTAAAGCTTATTAATTATATTTATAGTTCATTGGACTTATAAGTAAGAAAAATATAGAAGGCTTTCAGATTTTTATGCTGGAGTTATTTTGTCGAGTTGAACATTAAAGTGGAGCTAATGATTATAAGGCTTGTAGAGAATATGCATTGCAAAATCGATAGGTGTGTAATTTTAAATTGCAAAAAAGTAAACAGAGTGCGAAAATGATGTTTAATTGTTTATCAGCGTGAAACAGCTGAATAGCTGGACATTGTTCACACAATATGGATGTTTTGATGAAATTTTTTGTTGTTTACATTTAATAGTTTACATAACTAATTAATAAATATTAAAGCAAAAAAAAAATTAAATTTATTTATATATTAATATTATCTTTCAATATAAATGATATATTTTTACTTGACACATTTTTAGTGTAAATTTTATTATAAATTTTGATTTCTAATACTTCAATATGACGTCATTTTATTGATAAACTTGTCTGGAGGAATTTTCAAATATGTCAATTGATTGGAGTTTATTTTTCTTTATATGGCAACATCAGAAGCAAACTTTACGTACAAGTTGGAGGAATTTGGGTAGGTTAGTGTACATCGTATCTTCCAATATTGTATCCGGGGAGTTGAGTATACACTCAGGATGTGCACGAGGCTGATAAGAACACCAAAATGTCGAGAAGTTTACGTTTCTGAGAGTACTGTCAGGATGTATCTCAATACGACGTTGATGTAACAGTTTGAACCGTAATTGCTTTCAACAGAGTCGTCTATTTATTTAAACTAATATCACATACACTTCTCTATTTGTTGCTGTTAGAAGAAATTTCAATTAAATGTTGCAACAATATATAAAATAGAGATATTTTTTGATTGTTTCAGGATCAAAGCCGTTTCCAGGACTGGAAAATTTACCAAAATCCTTTTGGCATGAGTTAAGCTCACCTTTTACAGAGGTGCGTTTGTATATTCATCAACCCAAGTACTCTTTTTCACGTTATTTTACTAGTATTTATTTTTACAATATCAAGCTTGTTGAATGACTACACATGTATTATATGATATCATTTTAAACAAATACAAATTAATGATTAATTAAATTTTTTTTAAATTTTGGTTGTTTTCAATAGAACTCTAATATGAATTGTAGTAAGCCTGTAATTAATAATTAATTAGTTATTAAATATTTTATCCAGGTTGATTTATTTGTGTGACATAAAATTTCCTAATCATCAGATAAGATTTTTTAAATCAGTATTAAATAATTATTTCATAGTTACCAGGTAGATATTAATTATATTAAATTTGTTTTGTTAAATTTTTTTCAGATTTATGGTGAAGAAGAGACTGCTACTGAAAATGGTGCAACTCCTGAGCCGAGACCTTTTTTTCTTGATCCTGACAGTAATGTTACAGTTCAACTTGGTGCTTCAGTTCATCTTCACTGTCGAGTTGAGAATTTGCAGAAAAGAATAGTAAGTACAGAAGTATTATTTTTTTATTATAGAAAAAAGATTCTCCTGTAATGGATTGTCTAATAATTCATTAAATCTTTTTTAATCAACATAGCATTAGCAGATCAGTCCATTTTCACAGATAAATTCAAAAAGGTTTTTAATAATGGAAATAATAAGTAGCTTGTAATAAAATGAATTTTTAAAAGATTTAAAGTTATAATAATAATTCATGTTGTTTTTTCAAATTATTTACGTTAAATTTTTTTTTTAAATAATACAAACTTTATAAGATAATACAATAGAGATAGAGTGGTTGTAATATTACAAACAGGCACGACAAAAATTGTATATAAAGCTCTTGTGTATTTTTAATGTTATAAATTTAAAAAAAGTCCCAACGAGTATCTTATAAACGCAAATAAGCTTAAGGACTAAAATGAGGAACAAAGAGGGATTCGTAAAACTTACTCATGTTGAAAGTAAGTCCTAGCATTCGCTTATAAAAGTTACTCGCGTTCTGAAAACTTTGTTGGATTTATTTTTGGGTTATGAAGAAAACAGGAAGTTACACTTTTTAGTGGTACAGTAAAGTTTTTGGTCGAAACTAATTCTCTGCACAACATCATTATGTGCACTTATTAAACTCTTTTAAAACTAAAATTTCACTAATGACTTTATTCTTTGATAATTAATTTTTCTACATATTCTAAATTTATTATTTATTTTATAAAATTTAAACAATATATATTTTTTAATCTTAACAAAATATAAATAATTTTTATTTAGTTATTTATATTAGAAAAAAATTGAATAAATTTTTGCAAGAAACGTTTTGTTTTATTTTTTTTTTATATTCTATTTTATATTTATATATTTTTCATTTCGATGTCAATATTTGAAAGTAAAAATATTGCATCTATCATCATCGATCAACTGTAGAGATAAAAATATATGATCAGGCAGTAAATAATATCGTAGATGGTATAAAAAATTGCACCCAAACAAGATACGACTAGTGGAAGATTTATATTATGACTAAATTATACTGGTTGGGATTGAGAGTACTTTAATGCTAATCAATATAATAAAATTGGATAGCAAGATTTATTAGATTTTTCAATGAAGATTTATGCAATATAGTTGAAAGAGTTTAATTATGCTAATCATAAATCAATTATTATCTAGATTTATATAAAAAATAATTTACTCTTAATATGACATTGACTTTATAAAATAAAATTATGTCATCCAATATTTGTAATACGTTTTAATAAATCATACAGTCATTAAATATACCTCAATAAAGTTTCCAAGTGTAATAACATAAATAAAGTTGATATAGATAAAGTAATGTACTGCAGTGTAGCATTAGTTTGCTGGCAATTTGATTTCAATCTTCTATTTTATGATTACTAATATCGAATTGACATTAGCTTTTTGACACTACAAAAAATCACCATTTTTAATTTCATTATTGAATTTTAAAATTTTACCCACACGGAGAGAATTTTTTCACTAAATGTAAGTGCAAAAATAACAAACGCACGTTTCGAAATTTAGAAGTCAAAAAAATTTCTGTTCAACAGTCAATTTTGGGTTGTCATAAGTAATTATTTTATTAAGACACCTTTTAAGTCTCAAGTTTACTTACAAGAACTTAAAATTTACTATTGAATAGAAATATTTTTACTTCTAAATTTCGAAACATGCACTTGTCACTTTTTGTACTTAAATTAAGTAAAAAAATCTCCGTCCATCATAGATAATTTTAAAAAGTCAAATAATTATTTTTAAGCAATCTTGAATAAAAATCTCATTAAAAAAAGTAATTACCGCTAATTTCATGGAGACAAACTGCAAAAATGACATATTTTTAATTAAAATATAGATTAAATTTAAAAATTTATTCGGTAATTAATAATTAATTCTAGAAGAATCACCTTGAATTGGCATTTATTTATTTTCATCAAAGCATTTAATATTTTTAAAATGTTTTAAACAAAATAAATAAAAATTGCAATCACATAAACATAACACTTTTGATTTCTTTTAGAATGAAATTAAATAATTCCAATGATATGAACATCGATAATTGTGTAGATATTTTTGTACAAATCACGTGTTAGATATTTAATAATTGTAAATAATATAGTTAAATATAATAAATGCATTGATAAATTGATTTGAAGAATATTTGACAAGGAGAACAAGAGTAGAGAAATAAAAAATATTGAATCCTTATTCATGAATATAAATAAGTCTTGTATTGGAAAATCTTATTATAAATATGTTGTTCACTAAGCTAGAGAATTCAGCAAACTTTTATATTCCTTTCAAATAAGTGAAGTATAGAAATCAGATTGGAAATCCGTAAAGTCTATGATAAAGAATAGAAGATCAATTTCTGTGATTCTATAGTGTCTGACGATTTATCTCCACTTAATGTGAATCAAAATCGATTTTTGTTAAGTTGCATTGTCAGTTGGTTCATTTTATCAGTTTCATTATAAGAAATGTTTATTATTATTAAGATTCAGTAAAAAATTTGAATATTGAGCTTGGATGTTTGTTAAACAATAGTAATGATATTAATATATATCGCTTGAATGAATAGCAACTTCAAATGGTATTAAAGGGATTAGATAAAGTAGATTACGGTTTTTAAATGCAATGAAATTTTTAAAAAAATTTTAAATACGATTATAATAAACTTGTTGTATATAAAGTTTATTTAATATTTTTTTTTAAAACACTTATACAATTGATCAAATCTTTAATTATTATGATTGAAATTGTTATCACTTCTTTTCAGTCCTACTTGGATTTTCAGCCATTTTTTTATCAACACAATTGTTGATTTTTCTAGACATGTCTTCATATTGTTGAGTGAAGGTATTATATCCATGTGAAACTGCACAAGACGGCACACTGACAGGCAACTCACCCATTAGAATTGACAGTTTTCCGATACGACTAATAACATCGGGTATAATATGAGTCCCGATCCAAGCAGCATTAGATCCAGCCTACAAGATATTAAAATTCATTTTCAATATTAAAAATAAAAAATACCCAACATGTACGTACATTTTTTACACATTTAATCGTATCAGTGACACTTTTGGGACAATGAAGAATATCCTTGAGGTTTGGTAGACTCAGGACATCATTGGCGATTTTAGATAAACTTTCAATATAACTGCCTCCAAGTTCTATTTTATCAACAATACAACTGCTTACATTGGACATTGTTGCGAGAGCAATCACTCCAAGGTTTTTAGAAATTTTCGTACATTCTTTAATATCAACTCCATCAGCTCTTTTCATTAATTTCTCCAATTCATTTTCTTTCTTGAAAATTTATAAATTAAACTCAGTACACTGGACTTTACTTTAATTACAAATAAATAATACAATAATATTCATAATAATAACAAACAATATTATCATACCTGTTTTAATAAATTACCCAATTGTCGTTGTATCTGTTGTCCAAAATCAATCGATTTATTTATCAATTGTTCTCCAATTTCATTCATTTTATTCAAAGTATTTGTGTAACTTTCATTAAATGATGCAATAATTCCATTAATCGTTGTATTGGCAGTTTTTTTAGTAACTTCTAGTGTTCTTGGTAATGATATTTTACATAATTGAAAACTGGTAACTGTAACAAATAATATCGTCACACTGAACACTATTAAAAACGATACTTTTGACATTTTTTTTATTTAATTACTTCCAATTTGAATGTGATTAATTTGCTTCAAATGCTAGCACGATATGCAAAAAATGTTATTAATTAAAGAAAAGTACTAACAGGTGAACGTTAAACACTTGTATCAACTAAATGTTTCATTCATTCACTTTTAATGCTCCATTTATTGAGTTATCATTATATTAACTTTTAAATCAAAAAGAAAAATTTATTGAAATATCAACGCTTTTATATTCACAAAGTTTTTTTTTAATTTATACTTTTCGAATTTATTTAATATTTACAATATCTAAACATTAATATACTTTAGTATCTAGATTAATAACGAATAGTTTTCATATTAAATATCGTAATTAAATCAAATTAATTTAAACTTTATTCATGTTACGTAATTCAATAAATTATCTAGAGCGTGTATCATCAAGAAATGATTTTATGAAACTGATGCGTTATTCAAATTAACATTATTTAATAGTCATCGATAACTAATTCAGTGAACTTGACGAAATAACTATTGTGCAGGCTTACAATTTCCGGTGGAGACAAATGAAAACACTCAATCATAATAATCTATGAATATCTTGAAGTAACATCGACTATATTCCTGCAAATTGATCATTTTGTTACAAATACATTGACTTATTATATAATTATTATTATACATCTTCACAAAAATGGTTGACAGAAATAGAAATTAATTTGTCTCGTTTATTATTTTTATTTTTATGATAACATATTATCTTCTTCTTTATTGTGTATTTTGCAAAATGTTGAAATACTTATCGGTTATAAAATATAATTGTCAATCATCCTGTATTATTTATTGAAGAATAAAACAACTTTAATGTTTAAGTACTCTCTAAAAATGGGACAGTGCAAAATCAGTGAATATAATACTAATGATTCAATTAACACTGCAAAATTAATTAATATTCACTGATTTTTCAGTGTATTTCATTATTTTCACTGTTCCGTTTTTAAAGTGTATACATTTTCTCCTCTCATTTCCTCATTAGTCAAAATTGTTGATTAAATGAACCTTTGATGTTTATGTAAAGTGTGCTTACTGAAAGTATGCCTTCGTTTAAAAAATTTACAAATAATTAGATAATTAAAAATTCTAAAAGTACACATCAAGTATTTTATATTCTTATTATTTTTTTAATTTAACTTTTTATTTATAACAACAAAATATTGTTTTACAAATAGAATCCATGTTTCAGATGCATTTTTTTTTTCTTTGAATTAACAGATTATAATTTTAGAATTAATAAAATTAATTAAGAATAGTCAAAATAATATTTGCATCTAATGATTTACATTATGATTGAATTGGTAACCAAATATCTCGGTTAGTTTATCCTCACCTCCACAATTATGAAACGTAACAGTGTGTTTTATTATATATTTATTTAAGGCTAGGCTTTACTTAAAATTTTTACCTTATTAACTGTAGCAGAAAGCACCTGAAAAATGATAAGACGAAATACATCCTAATTAATGTGTTTTATTATGTAAAATAATTTTATTTATAAAATATAGAAGGTTGCAAGGATGTCAGCGGATAACTTTCTCCACTAAAAAATTTGTAAAAAAAAGAATAATTAATTATTTTCTTTTGACGGCCATGAAGCATAAAAAATCTAGGAATCATTTGATGACAATTTGCTTTCTAATTACATTTTATTAAAATATAAAATATTTATCAGCGGTATCCTACATGAAATAGGCTTTATTTTGATACTAAAATCAGTACATAAAGTACCGAATAAATCTAGTTTTGGAACAATATCAGCTTATTGTTGTTAAAAAATATTTCTTTAAATCAATTAATTATTTTATAGATTCTATTCAAAGAAGCATTTCATTAAAACAAAAAATTTTTTCCCTCAGTGTAGATATAATTGCAAATTGGCTGCAATTAATTTGCAAATTAATTATTTCCCAACTCCTTAAAATTTTCTAGAAGGAAATCAAAGTAAAGCTCAGCCTTAATCATTTTTTAAAATAAAACTCAATCAATGGACAAAATACTGAAATAAATTAAACTATAGTTTTAATTGTTCTCTGCTGTAATGATAAAACTCCACTTTTGTCAATAACTTCTTTGACCTTTTAACCAATCTCCTAGAATAATAGAGATAGTGAAATTGCAAGGAAGAGAGTTTATAGAGCTTAACAATGTCTAGAATTACACAAATCTATATTGCCTTTTCCAATTCCGATGTGTACTAATATAATTGATATACATAGTTAGACTGCAATTAATGTACAGATATTTCAGCAGGTGAATTCATAAAGTAGAGAATTTAATGTTTCATATTGTTAACTACAATTCGATTGATAGTCAGTGATCTCGTTACAGAGTATATCATAAATTAATAATAAATATTTTTAATAAGTGATTAATAATTAATAGATTTCCATGTAATGATAGACTGGTAAAAGATGTTGATAATTATCCAACTATTCAAATACTTTTCAGTGAAGTTATAAGTGTTGTCAAAACCCTTTTATGTTAGGTTGGCAATAAAATAGTGAAGCATGTGGAATAGCTTTGAATTTAATTTTTTTATTTAATAGCCTGGTCTTCAATGCAGTCATCATGTGCATCATTGACTTGTATCCACCTCCAGAGCAGAGTTATTGTGGTAACATCATAATACTCTAGATTCTCTAATGTTCAAATTTTAAAAGTGTTTCACTATTTTCTTGCTAACCCAACAATTTATTATTCTCATGCATCATGATCTTTCTAAGAAGTCATATAAAAAACTATCTTGAGAGAACATAATTATGAGTATTTGATAAAACTGTTAAAATCAAGCATAATATTCATTCAAGTATGTAATTTGGTGGTTTCCAAGTTACTTCTTAAACTTTCTGAAAGTTAGAACTTTTTATAAGACTTCTAGACAACCACAGTTTATGAGCAATTGAAGTGACTATTTTATTATTCATATATGTTTGTGTATGATAAAAAATATTTCATTCAATTATTATCTTCTATAAGATAAAAATTTTTTTTTTCGACATATTTCTATGAAGAATTACCATCTTTATTATTCAAGTTAATTTCATAAATCTCAACTTCTTGTAATTTTATTCTTTATACTAACCTAAATGCAATATTTTATCAAAGTAATATCCTTATATTTTATTTTAAGAAATGTCATAAATAATTGCGATATAGAAGAAAGGGAAAAAATGGCATTGCGCACTTACCATATACTTCTTTTCTCATTCTTTGGCACTATAATATTTCAAAGAAAGATATTCTTCCACGATGCATTGATTTTGATATCCAATTCTATTACTATATTATATATTGCATAAAGTAGTAACAATATTTCAAGCTACTTTCAATTTAATTAGATGACAAAATTGAACTTATTACCGATTTTAACCAGCTTTTATAAATAAAATATTTATAATATTCATAAAACTATTGGACAGCATATCAAATGTAATATCAAAGTCAATGGGATTTAATTTTAGTTTTTTTTTTTTATTAAAGCGCCATTAAACCAATACTGGTTTATTTTGGCTATACAATATTAATACACATATTTTTAGTGGTCAAATACATATACATAGATATAACATCATAATTTCCAGTTTTATACATGGAGTTTACAATTATTGAAGAACTTGACAATGATGACCCATGCTTGAATATTGGGCGTCTTTAATAAAGTTTTAACATTGACTTGATTGATAGACTTAATTTTTTCCAATTTGCTGAGAAGAATGCAACGTTCTTTCACGTATATTTCACACTGCCACAAGATATGGTCTAGGCTTTCCACGCTTTTCCCACACTTGCAGCAGTTGTTGTCTGTGAAGCCTATGCGTTCGAGAGATTCCGCTAGATTAAAATGATTGGCCCTACACCGATTAATAGTCACAATTGTCTCTCTATCTAAGCCTTAGTGGTAATTTAACTTCAGTTGAGAGTAAATACATTGATAAATTTAGGTATGGGTGTGTGTGATAAAATTGTAATTTAAAGAAGTAGTTAAAGGTTTGTTGGAAAAGTATTATTTCCATGTGTTCATTTGAGATAAGTAATTATCATTAACACATTGTTTCACGGTTTCCATTCGTATTCTACTTGACTCGAATAGTGTAAGCCAATAATACGTGCGATAGAAAGCACGTGAAGAGAAAGGGTAAATGTAGTGGTATTAAGAGCAGTTGATGCTAGCAGAAGTGTGTCCATGTAAAGCTTTCCCTCGGTTTTGATTACCTGGTTCATAGTATCGAGATTCAGCAGGTGGGTTAGTGATAACAATACCTCTTCCACTCACGTACACTTACACTCAAAGTATGTAAAGAGGTACTCACAGGTTGCTTTCATGTTCAAGTTGAACACTCCAATTAAATGGTTTAATTAAGCTTTAACATTTCTGCTATTTCTCAACTCATGTGACCTCACAATTGAATAGATCTGTTGAGAAACTTTATTATCAGTAACTTCCATGAAATATTCCCCTGGATTTTGTTCCTCGTCAGTTAATGAAACTGTAAATCTTAAGATATTTTTACATTTACCGTTATTCAGTTATTTGCTTTATTCCATAACTCGTTTAATGTCTATTAAATTAATCTGATCTATGCATTAAAGTGTTCAAGAATTTCTCTTTAGAGATAGTGATTTTATTCTCGTGTATCATTTAGAAATGATGGATGAAACTTTCAGTTCAAGATAATACCATTCATGATTATTATAGATTAATTAGTTGAAATTTAAATTTAATTAATTAAAATTTCATTAACTCTTTATAGTACAGTTGAGTCAAGTTAATATTAATTTTAATCTACTCATAATTCTTTCAATAACACTAAATATAGTGATATTTAATTTAATAAAATAAAACATTTATAATTTTTAGTTGGAATGAAAATTTGAATGAAATATATCGATTATTCTCCTGTGGCCAAATGAAAAATAATTATTAAAAATGATTAATTTAGTTATTTAAAAAAATAATTAAAAACATTTTCATCATAAATATATTTGTAATGGTTTGAGTGAATAAAAAAAAAAAAAAATGTAAATGTTTTTATATCAAAAATTATAAAAGTCTAAAAAAAAAAAAAGACTGAATGGAAAGAAAAATTGGAGTCACTTTTTCAGTAGGCTATCATATAGTTGGCTGAACATAAAGGGTGTAGAAAGATTTTTCTGAGACGTATAAGTTCGTTTTCATTTCCTTCAAGTCGGAAAGGAGGTCCTATCCTTCCGGGACCGGAAATCCGTTGCCCGACCCACTTTTCTCATAATACCGTCGGTTGTATCGTAACACTTGAAGCCATGAATAAACTTCTCGCTTGTATGCAAACGTATAAAGACAAAAAAAAAAAAGAAGTCAATGATAATGATAATACGGCGTGATAAAAGTCCAAATGGATTTGAACTTTAGCTAAAAAAAAAAAGTCTAGTCTGATATTATTTAATATGCAATGGCAAATTTGAGTTTTATTATCAGTAATTGAATCATTAGAGATATCCTAAATGTTACCAAGTGTTTATTGGTCTCACGCGTTATGCATGCGTCGACTCGTAACTACGTTTTCCGTTTTATGTGCCGATAAATGTTGTTACTCGTTGTTGGTGGCGTAATCTTTGCCTGTAATAGAGATAAGCGAAACCATAGTTGCACACACGCTTTGGATTAACATTGACCGACACATCGGTTACGATTCATTGACCTATGAAACGATCCAACAGGCTACATTCTATACCAATATGTATGTAGAGAAATATAAATACACAGGTGTAGCAAAACAATCTAGTCTGCTTCCTAGATGACAACATGTTAACATGTTGCTCAATCAAATTAAAAGACAGTTCCAATTGCAATTGTTTTGTGATAATTATCACTTATCTGTAAAATTCAGATATTATTGAGGCTGATTAATAAAATAAAGATGCTTGAATAAATGAATTTTAAAGCTATTTAATTCATCGCTCATATAGACATCAATTTTATGGTCTTTATTTATTAATTGCTCTATTCAAAAATTTTATTTTTAAATTTCAGATTAATGCCAACTCTTTGATGAATTTCCTCTTCCTTTTTCACTCTTGATTACTCTCAAATATATTCCAGCATGCCAAACAGATTCTAGACTCTCAGCAATTAGACTCTAGAGAATGAGGTCATAGGTTGGTTCGAATCGCGTGTTCGGGAAAATATGAGAGGTATGAAATTGAGAGTAAATAAATATGTGGCTTCGAGTCAGTAAGTTCCTAGGGTATAATTATTCAGTATTCAATGCTTCATAAAAATGATAAATTGACTTCTTTTGTAAATGTTATGTCATATTTTTAAACAAAGTGTAATAGTGGGTTTGGTGAGTGAAAATATAACTAAAATTTGAACTTGAGTATCTGCAGTGAAAAAAAATGAGTATCTAGGAAAAAACTAATCTTGCCTCCACTCACTTCTCTAGTGTTTCAGACAACTTATTCTCATTGTATTCTGTGTTACCTTCCTACTGATGTATATCTGAGACACGTAATATGCTACGATTTTTCTTAGATTATAACAGCTTTTTTCTTTTGCTTCTGTTGGATGATATATTCATTACTCTCCAGGGAAAAATAACCTTTGACTTTTTAGCATCACTCTAGAGAAAACTGAGCCCTGATATTTTAAAATATTTGTCAACTATGTATATATATATATATACACATATGTGTATGTATTTTATGTGATTTGAAAATATTCTCTTTAGTTTTCGTCTATCAACTTTTTACTATTTGAACAGAATAAAATTGTAATTCAGTTTGCTTTTGTATTGATGATATTTTGAAATCAAAGAATTTTTTTCTTCATTCTACTTTACAGACCTTTTTCAAATGAAATGGTATTTTCTTTTTTCATTCCTGGGAAAAGGACATATAAATATGTACAAAATATTCAGTTATTGCAATGCATCAAAAAAAAGATATTATTTGAATAATAATTCAATTTCGTTTTTCAGTAAATGAAATTTTTGTTCTTTTTTTTCAGGTTTCGTGGGTTCGTAGGCGTGGTGACGAGCTTCATTTGCTTACCTTTGGTATTCACACGTACTCGAGTGATTCCCGATTCTCATTGGACTACCAAATGCCCAACGATTGGCGGCTTTTACTACGAACAGCAACCGAACGGGATGCTGGCGTTTACGAGTGTCAAGTTAATGTTCATCCACCCTTAACAAGGACAGTCTATCTTACAGTCTCTGGTGAGTAATTAATCTTGTCAAAATTCCCCAACCACCTATATGTTAATATTCACTGGTTTAACTAAAATACCGTTGATATAATTGATCTTTCATTACTGATTAACTAAAACGAATAATAGTACATATAGATCCAGCTAGCAATTTGAATCCAGCCTTTTTCTAAAGTCCTGAACATGGTCCACTTCATTGTTGAGATGCCTAGCCTGATTTGGCACCATTAAGAAAGTTCATTTAGACCTGGAAGAAAGAATAAGACCAGGGCTATTTAGTGTTCATTCATTTAATAAGTAGTGTCATGGTAGCAATAGAGTAGAAGAGGAAGTAGGATTATGGTCGATTTATTTATTTTGTAAGCACACTGCGTCTTCATCAGCTAATCCTCTAATATATTGGAAAATAACTTGGCAGTTACCAGAAAATTGCAGAAATGATGATTGGTGATGATTTAATGAAGTAAAATATGATTTAATAAAAACAAAAAGTGGTATATAATTCCACCTTCTTTTCTAGCAATCAGGTAGCAGCTGGAGACCAGAATCATTCATCAATTATTTATGTCATGAGTAGTACTATGTCAGTTATAGGATTGTAACATTGGAGTATATCCTAGGAAAACCTGATCAGGCTCATGTATTGTCACATTTTATTGCTATTCGAATAGTTGTTCAACTGGAAAAGATAAAATTCTAAATAGTTGATCGAATGTTGGCTTGAATGAGAAGAGAAAAAGAAGAAATATCAATTTAAAAAAATATGAAATTCAATAAATCTTTTGGAATAACTTTTTGATAAAAGTCTAGGTTCTTTGTATCATTAACAAAAAAACTTTTGTAAGGTTAATCTCACGGGTGGGCGCGTTAACGTTGGAAATCCGTGCTTGGTAGCGGATAACGTGGTATAATAAATCATCAAAGTGTCATCATTTAAGTAATCGATAAATATATAGTAGCTTTTTAACATAAATTTGAGTATTTTATCAAATATATAACCCACTATGATACATGATGAAATTGTTTTCTGATTATTAATAGCTGATGATGTACGAGTAAATTGACAAGCATGTTAGCACATTAAATTATTTAACGCGTGAAAAATTAAATGTCTGGTCACGCGATGAAATTATGACAACACATAATAGCGAGAGGCGGTAATAATATTAGTCGTTAATCATTCTCAAGATTAGAAGTACTAAGTTGCGGCCGGTCTTGACAACCAGGCGCACTTAAATTAAATGATAATGAGAACAAAAAGCTTTCGAGGATGAAATGAAATATTTTTGTCTACTATAATTAGGTTTATCATAAAAAAAAATCGATTAAATTATAAGCAATGAAATGACAATTTTTAAATACTTCCTTCAACATCAACATGCACAGTCATATAGTAAAATTGAAATTTTTATTATGTTAAAATAAATTGTTGCATAATTTCGTTGGTGTCATAAATTTTATATATCATAAATTTAATTCGTACATGTAAAACATTTGACCGATGTTCTAAGTGCATGACCAGTATAAATTGCTATTCATATAGAATAACGTAATATTTCCTGACTTCATAAAAGCTATATGGCTAGGGGGCCATTGTCCAAGATAAAGCGATGATTCTAAACTCGATTCTCTCGAGAGCTTAAATTCTACGTTTTGTAGATGGTTTTTATGCTTGATCAATTTAAAGTGTAATCATGAAATGAAATTTTTTTTCATTTTTTTAAAATACTTTTTTTTTTTTTTTCATTCTTTCATTTCATCTATCTGTGCATCATTAAATTATCTTACATTAACTTACCACAGAATCTAAATTTATATTAATCAGTTTCAAATGGTAAATAATTCCAATATAATTGGAATAATGGTGATTTATTTTTTACATCCCTGTGAAATTTAACACTTTGGAATAAATATCATGAAACAGACCCATTAGCCTGTTAACGATGTACATTTGAACAATTTTTTTATTTGGACAATACCACGGATTGTAATTCAAAATGGAAGTATGTTTCATGATGAGGATTTCTAAATGATTTTTTTTTTTTTTTACATTTTATTTGTTAAAACAAAAAAAAGTATAAAATAAAACTATAAATGATTGTTATTTATTACTTGTTGGTTAATTTGCTTTGTCATTTTTTATTTAGAAAGGTGAAATAAAGAACAACAGAGTCTAAAGTAATTCTGAAGACTACAAATCGATGAGTTCATTGAATGAAATTGATGAGATACCATAAACTATTGGCTAGAATGTGTTCAGGGAAGGTAAATCCTGGTAGAAAAAAAAAAAATGAAAAACCTGGCATTACCACAGGTTCTCATGTATTCCGATTCTATTGCCTACGAACCAAAAGCGGTTTCCTGAAACTTACCAAATAATTTCTCCGTAAAAGAGCATCATCGATTTCGAGGGCTTTTTACAGCTGGCAACCGTTCAACCAGTTACGAACTTAAATTCCAAACGTGGGCAAATACTTTTTTCGCATCACTACCGTTTATGTGTTTGTGTGTATGTGTGTATGTAGAGAGAAAATCAAGTAATTTCCTTTCTCTCTTATTCGTAATAAAGTATCAGAATAGCTGATTCACTTTAAATTACTTGACTTTTTTTTTTTATTACAGCAGTCATATAATACTTATTTAAGTTAGATGTTTGCCACTGAGTCATCTAGAGTAGAGATTTATTGGCAATTAATGTATCGCAAATTTGTCTCATAAAAATCATTCAAAGCTTTTATGTAAAAGTTATATAGCAACAATAATAGTGTATTGGACATTTGGGTATGGGAGCAATGAAATTATTTCTTTTATCAATTTATTATCCTGAATAAAAATAAATAGGCCCAAAAGAAGCCCAAAATCAAAAATAAGCCCAATACAGACTTAATTGAAGCCCAATTTTGACTTAAGAAATTTTCAGTGCCCAAAACGAGCCCAATTTAAGCCTAAAAATATTTTGCAGGCCCACAATGTGCCCAGTTCAAGCCTAAAAATATTTTGCAGGCCCAAAATACGTCCAATTCAAGCTTAAAAATATTTTGCAAGCCCACAATGTGCCCAATTCAAGCCTAAAAATATTTTACAGGCCCAAAATACGTCCACAATTCAAGCTTAAACATATTTTCCAGGCTCACAATGTGTCAAATTCAAGCTTAAAAATGTTTTCTGTGAGCCTGAAAAATGATTTGGGCTTTAATCAAGCCTCCTTTGGGCGTGCCTAAAAAATGATAATTTTTTACTTGGGTTAATATTGAATTATATAAGAAAGCAGCATCTGTATCGTAAATACTTTTAAGCTCGACTGACTTGAGAACTAAAGCTCAATTGAATCATACTCTTATTATTTTACATCTGAATATAAACAGTCTATATCACATATTCGGGAGCCCCAATTCTAAATGATTACCTAGTTTTGGACTCTACATCACAACCAATGTAGTGACAGAATGTGAAAGAAAGAAAAGAATACTGGAGTAATTTTAAGCTAAACGCCAAAAGCATCAACAGAAATATTTTGATGAAAAAATAACATGTTGATGTTATAAGACTAGTAAAATCAATCAATATTTACATTTCAAAAGCACTGCTTTAGATAGAATATTTCTAGATTTGTTTATAGTATCATAGTAATGTGTTGATACTAGAAAAAGTATCTTACGATAGTAAGGCATCAAGTGTCAAAAAGCATATTGTGAAAGTCGTATGTCTGGTTGGATTGGCAAAGGACTAAATTGAAAAATACACAGGAGAAAAGCGTCCTAGAATTCAATTGAAATATATAAGGTGCATTTTGAAAGAATTCAATAGCTTGAGGAATAAAGTATTGATCTTTCTGATCGACAACTGATGATAAATCAGTCCAAATATAGTGAGATACAAAAGTTTATTAAATGACCTCAGGCATTTTTTTCTTTCACTTGTTTTTCTATTCTACTCATGCACCAAGTGATTCTCTTTGGTATTTTTTACCGGGATTTTTTTATTTACTATGTCACTCTCAAAGGAATGTCCTCTTATTGTCACCAGTATAGACTATTTTATTAGATATAATACGTTTTGATCCTTTGAAATGGCTAGAAAGATATGCAATTTTATTTCTTATGAATATTTATTACGTACTCAACTCACTTTGGTATGAAAGTAATAATATGTCATGAGTATTATACATACAGATAGTCTACTTGTAGATAATTCGTTGTAATAACATTCAACTATTCAATATTTCTATTTTAAATACAATATTTATAATTATAAAAATTTAATCATTTTAAATTGGTATTACTGCGAGCATTTTTAACAAAATATTTATCCTATTTATGTATCAATGTGCATATATATGTATCATCACTAAAAGTTTACTTATTCAAACAATGCATATTTAAAATTCACTAAAAACTGTACACGAAATAACATGAAGAGTTTATAAATATTTTCATATTGAAAAAAAAAAAAAAAATAATGGACTTTTAACAAAAAAAATTCTCGTATGTGACTTTAATAACATTTAAATAGAACAAAGTGAAAAAAAAAAATGATTTTATCACTGCGACATTGAAAGTGTTTTATTTCAATGCACTAAAAGTGTTGATGAAATAGAAGACATTTTGAATATATTAGTGATAGAATTTTATTTCCATTTACCTAGAAGGGTATTTATTGTAGATGAGATTAAAGTCTAAAGCTCCTACAAGACGTGGTATGTCTGAGATTTGATATTAAGTAGCCTCTCGGGCTCAATCTAATTATAATCTATTAGCTATTAAATTATGTTCTACATTATAGTTATCGACTATATCAGTAGCACATCACTTGCAGGTCACGCGATGTATCGGCGTCGACGCGTATATGTGGTTATATCACTAAACTACAGCATATTATTGAGTTGAATTATACGCTTGTTATCTATCGCAGTATTGTAATATTCAAATGCTTTGAAAATGACCAATTAAATAGTATAATGATGACTTACTATTGTACGATGAGTAAATGAAATATTAAGAACTCAATATT